CGCATTAAAAAAAAAGAAAGATGACTGTACAGCGATAAGGCGCGCACACTGTATAATATAATATACCATATTATGGGTATACGCGTTATATACGTATATTGTTGGGCGACGATTTATGGGTAAGAAATCAATAAATGTCGTTAATCGACCGTTGCGCCAATGTTCGGTTTCAATAGCGACGCTCGTACACATATAGGTATAATATATTATATATATGTGTATATAAGAAATAACGTCGCGCCGGCCTAATGAACCTTATCAGATGGCAGTGCTCTTTTCCTGCAGCCGACGAAACTTTGACCGCGTTCGGCATTCGCTGTATCTCACGAAAACGTCGCCATCATGTAACACAAAAATGTACGAAATCGTCTAGCTGGGCGTTAAAGTCTTTTACTTTCTAAATGAAATAAGAAACAACTGTTAAAAAACGAACGATAAATTATTATTGTGAGTATGAAAATGACAAAATCATCGTTAGCCGTAGGTGTCGTTCAGAACTGTGTATTACGAGTATATAATATTATGTATTATATATATATTAAAGTTACAATGTTCAATGACAAATTCACGGGACGTGATTCGATCGATCAGTTGTCGCGGTAGGTATTATAATACCTATATTTAGTATTTATAAAGCAAATGTCATAATATAATACGACGCTAATTCGTTCATCAAACGACATGACGTGAACGTCGTAAAAACATCCGGGCACTGCACGTCACATTGTGTAGGTATATAGATTTGATGGCATGCAGAAACCGATTTGAGTAGGTAGGTGTTTATGTAGAAGTATTTGTTTATTTATCTGTTTTATTATTATTATTACACATATTTTTCTGTTCATAAGACTGGTGATTTTCTCTGTCAATAATACTTCTTTTTTTTTGATTAACTTTACTTTTTTAAATGTTTTTATTGTAATATATGTCCACAATCATTATAAATTATAGTACTCTGTTGATTTATCTAATATAAAAGTAATTCATGTTTATGAGTTAACTTCAATAATATACATATAACGAGAAAGCTGATTATTGAATTAATTTATGTAAATGTTATCAAAGTCGAATTATTGATTTCTGTTTTGTATGTTCAAAAAGGCATAACGCTTAAGTTATAACTTATAACTAACGGTTAATAATTATGCAGAAGGTGGGCGGATATGTACGAGGACGAACACGGTAAAACACCCTGTATACATAATTTGTACACACTACACATACATGTGCAGCCTGTTGCATTTGTACTGTAAATACCATAAGGTGCTCATACTGCCTGACGTATACGTATAATCAATAACTTAAAAGTAGGTACATACACACGCACGTATATAATATATACATTTATGTTTGTGTTTAAATAATAAATATACATAATAGTACGCAATTTGCTCACAATTTTTAGCTGAATAACCGTTCGCCCTTGGCATGCTCCAAGAAAACACTATAAATATAATATTACATACATACAGCAGTGGAACATATGTACATATACGCAGCTTGACCTACAAATGCGAATTATTGGTCGTTAAACAAATTATTTTTTACTGCCGTTTTAAATGTAGATCATGAGAGATAATAGAATTTAGTATCATTTAATAGTAAAAAATTACGTTATTTTTATGGCACACAAAATTTTCGCAGCGCAGCTCACCGTCGTATACTGTGATTTAGGTAGGTACCATAAACCTGCGACCTGTCTACCTAAACATAATGTTATATTCTTCTTATCGCTAATCTAATAATACTATAATATTATATGTAATATATTAATTAAACGCATGCGTACAATGCCTATATTACGTGTTATGCCACATATATTTTAATGTACAATAGAAAATGGGATATGAGTATGATATAATATCACAATTATTACATTATATAGGTACGCGTGTATGGATGATAAGTCTCGAAGAAATGTGGGAAGTGGCGCGGAGAGAAACGGGTCAATATAATATTATAATATTATTTATTATATATTTTCGGAGATCACTGAAGCGGCTGCATTCCTTCTCCGTATTATATAGACGTTATCACGGTGGAAAAAAAAAATAAAACAACAACTACAAAACGAAATGCTTAGTTATCGATTCACCAAAAAGAAGAACACACACACGCCATCTCACCTATCGCGTCTACAGAACACATACGGGCCGTGCGAGACGTATACTCGAGACTACGCGGTCGATAATAATATTATTATCGAAGGCGATCGTGCCGGTGAGCGTTACCGGCTTTTCTCGTTAAGTAGGTGTGTGTGTGTGTGAGGTGCGATAACAAGAGGGCGGCGTTAAGCCCCTCGGAAACGTTCGGATGGATTAATAACGATAAAATAAAAAGAACGGCGTCGTCGTCATATATTATACATATATACTATTGCGTGTCTGCTATTAAAACATAATATATTTTTCTAGATTCGTTTTCGTATACCATATATTATATTATATCGAACTGCGCGTGCTCACACATCTTTCCACATAATTCATAACACTGGCAACCTACATAATATGTGCATTAGACACATGCGTTAAGTCGACTTATTCCGCGGTGAGTACCTATATTTTATCATATATAGCTGGTACATATTTTATATTCGCACCTTTGTGCCATTTTTCCGTGCCATCAAACGAACACACAAGATTTCTATAAAATAGTTTAATTATATACTCTGCGTTCTGTACTTTTGCTCCAACATAGCATGGGTCATTGAGCGTCATTGTTTCGGATTCGAAACGGATTTCACAGTGGACTTAATAATAATGTAATACTGTATTTGAGCGCACTATTATTGGACACTGGTCTAGGGCCACGCCGCCGACTTTTATATTTCATCTAAAAAGATTTTTTTTACGACAAATTTAAAGATACAATATTACAATATAATATTTTACGTTAAATAACTTACGCGAGCGTGTATTTATATTTTATATTATATTATTATATCTGTAGGCGATTCGGTCGATCGGCGCGTGCGGTTTACGGTAGGATTGCGAAGAGTAGGCCGAACGCGGGCGCGTGTAGGAGTGAACGGAGAACACGCTGCAGGTTTTTCGGTTGCCTTCGGTTTAATATCCTCTAAGTAGTGCCCAATCAATGTTTAGTGGTTTTTCATATAGGCTTCGGAGAAGCAAAAATAAAAAAAACAAAAACAAAAACGAATTAACTTTCACCAACCTAATAAGATACCGACGTTCGATATTATTATGCTAATTGAAAATTTTAACAATATCTCACTATATATGCTATGTACTCACTACGCATACATATTATACACATATATTATGTACGTACCGTGTAGGTACAGCCAGCCTCTGAGGAACGATGCCCTCCCCGCGAAACATCGAAATCGCTATGAATTTTATATGCATATATATATGACGTAAGGTCGGCGTTGTACTGCTGTGGTGGTAAGCCGCATATTTTTCGACTATTGATATTCAATCTCATATAATGCTGCTCGCACCCGTTATTATATATTAGGTATATATACATTATGACTATTCGAAACCCGATGGCGGTTTTTGATTTTCGCGTGGGCAGTCATTTAAAAGCAATTGTTCGAGTTACTGCAGCACTGTGGTGTATCGGGTCTTAAGCATACCGCTCGTACCGTATAGGTACCTCCTAACAGTAAAAAGAAATTAAATTTCAACGAGAGTCCGAAATGTTGCACAAGCCTTTAAAACAATATTAAATATTATAATGTAGATCTAACGATTCCATCTCGTGGCATATTACCCGCAAACAAATAATTTACTGTCAGATATTAGAATAAAATATTATTATCATTATTGGTACCTTTTCACTCATGTACCGCGTTGCATCATGATGGCTTACACCGACGATTTTCCGGCTGAAAGTTATTATAAAAATTCGAACACTGCACACGATGAACGATCAATGGTTTTCATTTATGTCATTATATAGGTATTATATAGCTATTATAGCTGGTATGTATAATACAGCGTAACCGCCAAAGTCCTAGCATACAATATACATATTATATTTATATAATTAGAGAGATACTCGGGTGTGTGTGTGTGTCTCGTTGGTCAAAATAAATTATAAATATTACTTCGTCATCGTTCGCACTTTGTGCGCCGCTGCCATTGCGAACAAGATAATATACTTGCAGTGTGTGAAAACAAAAAGATAAAATATATTTATAAAAAAAAAATAGCGTTGGTAAATTACCAGTAATAAATTATCGATACCCGTTTTTCCATTAACAGTCGTAATAGAGGTGAGCGAGCGAGCGAGAAACACTGCAGCAGAGAACGGAATCAACGGAGACGGAGACGGAGACGGACAGTAAAAAAAAAGCACATTAATAAATATTATTATTATTATAATTCCGGAAAGTTGCTGCAGTTTTGGTATCTCGAAACCAGCGACACATGTACGTATAATACGCGCGCGTACGTACGCCCGGGTGAAAGGCGTGGGCGTCCGGGCAGAGCCTACGGGCTAGCAGTGACCACAAAACCCGTTTTCCAATATTTTTTTTCTTTTTCAAATCATAATTATTGTATAGTTCTCGTTCTTAATATTTTTTTAAATGCGTACGGACATGGAAATCGGACCGGTCTAGAAATTAGGTAATTGATTTTTTTCTTTTTCGTTTATAAACCTATATACACTATATAGGTACGCATTATGTAGGTATACCTATATATGCGTATAGGTATATTATAATATCGGTTTGAACCCAAAAGGTCAATAGTGTTGTGAAAGACACACATATATGCATATGTATAACAGATATAGATATGATTGGTATACCCATTTGCAAAATCTAGAGTTTCTAGTTTGGCTATATCCGAGGGAGAAAGTCGCGTAAAGTATTATTAATAATATAGAGCTTGCATGTAACAATAATATAATAATGAACCTATTCAGGTTTTTGATTTTATTCTGACTTACATACTTGATAACATAAATGCTAATATTACAATACTCTCACTTTAGGCACATATTATATATCGCGGATAGGTACTTACCATCGAGTGGCCCAAGTATTCGGCGGCGTTATCCGATATGTATAGGAGCTTGCCGTTTTGGGTCATCATCATCAAGAATCCGCTGAGCGACTGAAAAAAAAAGTAATTTCTCATGTTAAATACAAAATAATAATAGTAATAAAAAAAAATATCAAAAGTATAAATTTTTATGCAAATTACCATCCGCATACATCTATACGTGCACGTTAACACACTATAATTGTCTGCGGGTCATTATGCGATGTGTATATTTTCGTGTTGTTTAATTTTTTTAGTATTCACAATCCAACCGTATACGGTAGGTATTCGAGCCGTAATAACTAATAACAAGGGGTCACCTATAGACATTTGCGTCTTTCCACGGTCGTCGAATGTTCCGGTCAAGGACAACATTTTTGTCGACAGGATCGAAAATCTGTGTCGATTTGAATCGAAAGTGCTTATTATACTATACTTCATCGAGTATTATGAGTATTGTTATGAGTATTATGTTCACAATCTGTTTCCCGACAAATCTGCTATAAAATGGATTCAATTCCACGACATTGTCTACTCTAAGTAGTAAGTTCCCGTTTCTGCGGGAGAATTTATCGGATTCGCTTGAAAGCGGTAAGTAGGAAAGGGTGAAGGTTTTCTACTCGTCTTCGACAACTTATGACCATTTTAATTATGTTTAAAATTATAAAATAATAATTACTGTTAAGTATATTTTCAATATCTGTAATTAAGACTGTATAATATCGTTATCTGGCGATTAGTATCATTGTATCAATCATGAGTATATAAATATGACAATAAACTGTTATCACAAGCGTGTTTACATACTCTGGCGATGGCGTACATTACGACTACATACGATGTACATTTGTATTGACTTAAAACTAAAACTAATTTGTACAGGTTTTTTTGGATAGAAAACCTAATTCATAAAAGGAACTTTCCAAAAAATTAAACTTTTAGCAAGTTCAGCGAGATGGACAAAATCTAATATACCTATCAAAAACATAATATTAAGATTTACTTAAAAGATACACTGTACCTATAAAAAATACTTAGGAAATTGTAGACTACTTCTTAAATTGGTTAAATTTTTTTTTTTTGGTTTGTTAACTTGATATGCAGAGTGCAGTGACCAATATATTATATAATTATTATGTATACGTACATGGATACTCAAACGATATAATCGAAATCTTCTATATCGTTACTCGTATTTATTAGGGTCAAGCAACTTAGTTTTATGAATTTAATTTTTATTAATCGAAATTATCTATATAATGATTTAAGAATAGTCGCTACATTTACTATTTAGTGGACTATTATCTACAATTTCACCACAGGTCAAAAATGCAGAGGTCATTTATTATTTTTGGGAAGTATGTTTATTATAAGTAGCCTGTAGGTAATTACTAATTAGGTATATACAAATAAGTAATAACATATTATATCCTGTTAAAAAAAAAAAAAAAAAACACAAAACGAGCTTTAACTAGACTCCCAATTGATGCATAATGATACTAATGACTAAAGTCAGTTAGAAATAACATAAATAATTTTAAAACCATAATGGATCGTTAGGACCAAAAATATGAATGCAAACAAATATGGTTAAAAATAAAGGTCTAGGCCTTAAATGTTTTTAAATAATATTGAACAAAAACGTTTATCGAGCTTGATTTCCTCTTTTATTTCTATTACGTAAATAAAGTCCATATAGTCTGTACCAAGATTGTTTATAGTTCATTGCTGAATTAAACAAATTCAACTAACCACAATTTACAAGCACATCTACAACACAAGCAATTAAAAAGGGGTAATTCTTGTTCATCATTATTATTATTTTTGTTATTTTTAACAAACTAAACAATGTGTTATTAGGTATATTATTATTATTATAAACGTTATAATTCAAAATATATTGTTCTTTAGTTCTTATACTATTTTTTTATTAATATTGTCATTTGTCAACAACTAATCTAATGTTTATTATTATTAATTTATTGTGGCCATAAACTATCATTAATGTACCTATATCAAAATTGTCAAAATCACAATATAATAAATCCGTGGACCGTATAGATGTAGATAACCCAGCCTAGGAACATCGTTTATTGTATATTTATAAGCGAAAAAAAGAACGGTTATTCATTACAATATTATGTACAGGATAACGAATTAATAACCGTTAATAGTTTTTTAAAAACAAAAATAAAAACGAAAATACCGATTCCGGCAGGTACGGACCTACCTGCCTACCTACGTATTTAGTTATTAAATACAGCTATAGCGAATAATAATATCTACGTCTAAAAAACATAAAATAATCATTTCTATAATATGAACTATCGACAAACGATTTTAAAGGGCTTAAAAAATTACAAACCGCACTCGCGATGAGGGCTGTATGTACGGCAAAAAGGTTTTTTCTATAATTTCTTAAATAGTTAAATGTAATACATAGTATTATTGAACAAAACCACAGCAAAGCAGCAGTGTAGCTTAGTGCGTAGGATCTATCTATTAACATGCATTTTATAATAATATTGCTATTTATAATAATATTTATGAAGACGTCCTCGAGTTGTGCAATAGCTTAATAATATATCGGCTCGCGTACGGTACATTTATGCGTACAAAAGTGTTAACCGTTTTGCGCGAATCCGTTTTTAAGACTCGAAGATATACGCTTAAGATTAGGAAAAAAAGAAGAAAAAGAACCCGTTAATTTTTTATAGCGTTTAAATAGTGTTAAACCGAGAGGACTTCAGAATCGTGTGTATATATATAATATATAGGTAATATTTATGCGCGTGTGTGTGTGTGTGGGTATGTGTATGTACACTTAAATAATTCAAAGACCGATGACCGTGTACCTATACATACATATATATATATGTATACATTTAATCTAACAGCGTCGAGCGGTTTACATGGTCCTTAAGAAGCGTATACTGTGCAGTCTCGTCGCGGAGACGTCTCATTTTCGGATCATCTTCGTACGTACATAATAATATAATATATACCTATATACAAGTACGATAATACGTTATAATATATGGTGTATATATAGGTACGGTTAGGATATAGACTTGACAGGTTGAACGGCGGAGGTGAATTGAAGCGGTCAGACCACTTTCGTCTTAAACCGAGCGGCGTAGGTATAATATAATATATTGTATATTATAATACCGTACACTACCCGTATACCATGTAGCTGGTAGGTAAGGTTAATAATATTATAATATACGTGTGCGTACGATGCGCGCGCGCTGCCAGAACCATTATTTCCTCTCGGGGGATTTCCTGCATGTCGCCGCGGAAATAATTACAATAATATTATAACCTACGTGGCTACGTGCCTACCTATATAATAATAATAATAATATGTGCGGTATTAATTATTACGATAATATTATAAAATATACCTTAAATCATAATAATATGCAAACGACGCGACGGCAAGAGACGGACTTGCGTCCCTCGGGCCCTGAAGGTGGGGTGGAGGCTATGCGCACACAAAGCGAGCAAATATTTTAATATGACGAGAGAGAATAATATATACTCGAGCGAGGAACGGTATCGCGCACACGGATCTATCGCATTTTTAATCGTCGTCCCCCGCGCGAGGACTATACTCACCCACGTAATGAGATTATATTACGTTTACGTTGCTTTCCGATATCGCCGAGCGTGCGATAAATCAACTGAATAGATCGGATGTATCGATTGAGTTAAGTAGGTATAATATATAGTAATAATGTACATTATCGTTAGTCAACACCGTAAACGATGTTTTTTGGACGAAAGTATAATTTGTTTCTTTTTCATTCGGTGACTGTACCTATGTTTTTTATTATTGTATATACCTAATGATTACCTATACTATATTACTATACACTGTGTCGGTTTGGTTTGTGATTGAGCCCCTACAGGCTCAGCAATTTTTAATGAGCCCCGACGCCCCGTACGAACTTTAAAAAAATGCTTTTTAATACGACACAAGAAAAAATATGACCAACTATGTTTTGCACATTTTTTACCTACTGTACGTGTTAAATATTAAATAATATATTGCTACCTATATTATTGCAAAAAGAAAAATCCGAATTCAACAAACATAAATTACATAAATTAAATACATTTTAAATTATTATTAAAAATAGAAGTTTTTTTTAAACTTTCGCTCCATGATCCTATCAAATTAATAATTTCATCTCTGTGTAAAAATTGATCTATGGTGTATTCTTCATCAAGCGCAGACAATTTAAATGGTCCTGCAGATATTGTAAGTTTGTCGAAGATCAGCTAAGTTTAGTTTTGAAAATGTTAAGCTTTAAATATATTTGTTCGCACTTACGGCTTGTGTGCACTGAAGTACAAAAAAGTATAAGAACGTATTTTGATGATATAATATGCCCAATATTATGTCGAATAAATCAGACGCCGCTGTCGTTAGTTGAAAAATAATTTGTAATGACCCACTCGAGAGACTAATAGGCCGTGATTTAAATATTACATGTATATATTTTCAGTTTGTCTGTGGGCTCTCAATCTTGACAAATATCCCAGTCCCCGGGGCCCCCGGCAATTGCCGTCGGGCAGCCGGGTGGGCCGGACCGACACTTCCTATACGTCATATTATATACCTACTTGTATATTTTATAATAGGTACACAGCGCGTTATAATATTATATATAGTTTGAATTTTTACGGCGACGGAAAGCGAAAAAAATCCAAACCGGATCGAAAAAAAAATATGTGCCGTACCTATATACTATTTTATACATACTTGCGGCGGCGGACACCTTATTGACGATCTATCGCGCGCGTATACCTATATACAGTATATAGTATCGTTGGAATCGCGCCAGCCAGACCCGTGTTTTCGTATTTTTATAATAATATATATTTGCCGTTTTTTTTTATTTTTATTTTACTCCTCCGTTTCTTTATACGTTACCGTACCGGTATACGGTATACCTATACGTATACTATATTATATGGTTACGCGACGAATGCCGGCATCATGTCACACACTCACACGCTCGTTGTACGCGGAGAAAAACTTTTGCCGTGGACAATAATTTCGT